GTCTTCATCACCTGGTCTACTTGCTACCCTGGTAACACTGTCTTCATCACCTGGTCGACTTGCTACCCTGGTGACACTCTTCTCACCTGGTCTATCTACCCTGGGTCATCACCTGGTCTACTTGCTACCCTGGTGACACTGTAACACTGTCATCATCACCTGGTCTACTTGCTACCTGGTAACCTGGTGACTACTTGTACCCTTGACACTCTTAATCACCTGGTCTACTTGCTACCCTGGTGACACTGTCTTCATCACTGGTCTACTGCTACCCTGGGTGACTGTCTTCATCACCTGGTCTACTTGCGACCCTGGTGACACTGTCTTCATCACCTGGTCTACCTGCTACTCTTGTGACACTTTCATCACCTGGTCTACTTGCTACCATGGTGACACTGTCTTCATCACCTGGTCTACCTGTTACCCTGGTGACACTTTCATCACCTGGTCTACTTGCTACCCTGGTGACACTGTCTTCATCACCTGGTCTACCTGCTACCCTGGTGACACTGTCTTCATCACCTGGTCTACCTGCTACCCTGGTGACACTTTCATCACCTGGTCTACTTGCTACCCTGGTGACACTGTCTTCATCACCTGGTCTACCTGCTACCCTGGTGACACTGTCTTCATCACCTGGTCTACCTGCTACCCTGGTGACACTGTCATCACCTGGTCTACCTGCTAACCTGGTGACACGGTCTTACTCACCTGGTCTACTTGCTACCCTGGTGACACTGTCTTCATCACCAGTTCTACTTGCTACCCTGGTGACACTGTCTTCATCACCTGGTCTACTTGATACCCTGGTGACAATGTCTTCATCACCTGGTCTACCTGCTACCAAGTTGACACTGTCTTCATCAACTGGTCTACCTGCTACCCAGGTGATACTTTCATCACCTTGTCTACTTGCTACCCTGGAGAAACTTTCTTTATCACCTGGTCTACTTGCTACTCTTGTGACACTGTCATCACCTGGTCTAATTGCTACTCTGGTGACACTGTCTTCATCACCTGGTCTACCGTTTACCCTGGTGACACTTTCACCACCTGGTCTACTTGTTACCCTGGTGACACTGTCTTCATCACCTGGTCTACCTTCTACCCTGGTTACACTGTCGTCATCACCTGGTCTACCTGCTACACTGGTGACACTGTCTTTATCACCTGGTCTACACTAGTGACACTACCCTGGTGACACTGTCTTCATCACCTGGTCTTCATCTACTTGCTACCCTGGTGACACTGTCTCATTCACCTGGGTCTACTTGCTACCTGCTACCCTGGTGACACTGTCTTCATCACCTGGTGCTACCCCCCTGACACTTTCTACCCTGGTGACTACTGTCTGTTCATCACCTGGTCTACCTGCTACCCTAGTGACACTTTCATCACCTGGTCTACTTGCTACCCTGGTGACACTGTCTCCATCACCTGGTCTACCTGCTACCCCGGTGACACTGTCTTCATCACCTGGTCCACTGCCCTTGCTACTGTTCTCATCACCTGGTGACACTGGTGACACTTTCATCACCTGGTCTACTTGCTACCCTGGTGACACTGCTTATATCACCTCGACTACCTGCTACCCTGGTGACACTGTCTTCATCACCTGGTCTACTTGCTACCCCCTGACACTGTCTTCATCACATGGTCTACCTGCTACCGTGGTGACACTGTCTTCATCACCTGGTGTACTTGCTACCCTCCTGACACTGCTTCATCACCTGGTGTCTACTTGCTACCCTGGTGACACTGTCTTCATCACCTGGTCTACTTGCTACCCTGGTGACACTGTCTTCATCACCTGGTCTACTTGCTGCCCTCCTGACATTGTCTTCATCACCTGGTCTACTTGCTACCCTTCTGACACTGCCTTCATCACCTGGTCTACTTGCTACCCTGGTGTCACTGCCTTCATCACCTGGTCTACCTGCTACCCTCGTGACACTGTCTTTTTCACCTGGTCTACTTACTACTCTGCTATCACTGTCTTCATCACCTGGTCTACCTGCTACCCTGGTGACACTTTCATCACCTGGTCTACTTGCTACCCTGGTGACACTGTCTTCATCACCTGGTCTACCTGCTACCCTGGTGACACTTTCATCACCTGGTCTACTTGCTACCCTGGTGACACTGTCTTCATCACCTGGTCTACCTGATACCCTGGTGACACTGTCTTCATCACCTGGTCTACCTGCTACCCTCCTGACACTGTCTTCCTCACCTGGTCTACTTGGTACCCTCCTGACACTGTCTTCATCACCTGGTCTACTTGCTACCCTCCTGACACTGTCTTTATCACCTGGTCTACCTGCTACCCACCTGACACTGTCTTCATCGCCTGGTCTACTTGCTGCCCTCCTGACACTGCCACTGATGATACAAACTAGGTCAACAGTTTCATACATCGCCCCGAGCTCTTCCTAATGTTGATAACTACACACATACCGTCCTTTTTATGATGAAATTTTTCGTTATCTGAAGCCCCACTCTGTGTCTTGCCAGGAGCCGCAATATAGCCTAGCCATAAATATGACCTAAACGCTGAACGCGGTTTCTGGGACCTCTCCACAGTGATCCTCACCCACATAGTGGCACATTGTGTCATCGGGTTTTTATCGCTTGTGTGATGTCCTGGTGGGGTAGAAAGTCAGTCAGTTGAGCTTTTCCCCCTGTGCGTTGGGTGAAATGCTCCCCAATGATCTGCCTTTAGAATAGAAATCTCCACAAAAAAATGATATTTCTCTCGTGAGGAATGATTAAACTTTAACACTGCCACCTCTGTAAGTCCACGCTCGCATTGCAGGCATAAACATTCACCAACACAAAAGAATGCTCGAAATGAACTCTTGGAGAAGCTGCTGCATCGGAGCACGCATGGGAATGCCCAATGTGCAAAGACGTCGATTGTGATAGCATAAATCACATATAATGAGCACAAAGCAAGGGACAGATCGCTTAAAATATGGAACGACACAATAAAGAATACATTTAAAGAGATAATGATCAACCTATTCTACACATTAGAAGATATGATCGGAGTAATGAAAGAAGAAATGAAAGACAGAAATCACAACAACTATTGATATTAGGTTCCAGGGCCTTTTCGTGCGGTAAAGAAGATAGACCCACTGCTTCCCCAAAAAGTATGTGGTATGAGTTGAATCGACAAAGTGGGCTTTCCGTCCAAGTCGGAGTACATCTGCCCTAGCTGCGAAGAACAACCAACAGCACACAAATAAGCCAGTAAAACGGATGTACACGCAAAACTCGGGCCCCGGCACAAAGCCAAAGTCCAGATGGACGAATAACCAGGACTTTCCGCCGGAGCTTACAGCCGGTGAACAAAGAAAGAGACGAAAATGTTTGAAACAAAAAAATAACTTTCGCCACCTACCGGGGGTATGGTATGTAATTCATCGTCAGCATTTTCTGATGTAAGGTCTACGGGTGGAGCCTGGAACATTTAAGGGTATGCGTGTGGAAGGATCAATCTGTTACCGTCCGAACATCCGGGGATGATACAAGAATGTGTATACCTCAGTAAAAGATGCTATGAATATTAGGCTATAGAAGCAACATACTCATCATCATCATCGTCATCACTATCATCATTATCATTATCACCATTATCCTCATTATCATCTGGTAATCTGGTAATCTCAGTTTCAGCTTCATAGCAAACGGGTCACCCCATAGTTGCTCCGCTCCTGTGCCAACGAAAAACACACTAAATGTTTATCACAGTTCAAATTAAATCCACAGCTCACAGTGTCACGCCATGCACTCAACTCAGAAGCTGGGCAATGAAACTATATCCTTCCAGTCTACAAATGGAGCAAAAATGCACCGACCACCATCTAGAAAAAGCAAAAAAAAAAAAAAACAAATTTTGCCACGGCTAATAAAAGTGGCCGTGCCTAGCGTCCATTTTGACCTGAAGCCTTATGTGAGGGTTTTTAAACGGTCACCCTAGCAGTACCCTGACTATTAGCTGGGAAATTAAATTGGGACATTAAATCCACTAGCAAGCGTCGCGCCTGCAACGACCTGACTGCCTTCGTTAACGACCGTTCACCCAACAGCCATGCAGTTCTTTGGTACCTTAAACTTGGCTTTCGGACTGCCGACTCCCTACAAGATGTTATGCTATTTTATGTTATCACAATCGACGTCACTGCACATTGGGCATTCCCATGCGTGCTCAGTCCTCCGATGCAGCAGCCACTTTGAAGTACTTGATCATTATCATCATTATTATCATCAAGTGAATGGACAATTATGCTTATCCTCCCATGTCAAGAAGAGTGTACACGTCCGTGCATTGACAACTTTCCACACCATAATAAAAGGTTGCCAAAAATCTTCTATTCATATCTTGCTTTTTATTTCTTTACGAATACCTTTGCAGCTGTCACACGGAAGACAGAGACTACAAAGAAAGTAGCGATACACCCGAATGGGCCCTTTTCATAAGAATGATTCACCTGACAACGAACATACAACATAGAAGTAAATGATCTGTTATTTTGGGGATCTTGCAAAATATCAAACCAAGACCATCTCGCATATAGACTGACCCATAATTATCATCATGAACGATAACAGGTCCAATATAGTCTGAAGAACCCATTGTGGGTTCCAAGGACCCACTGTGGGGAGAACAGACCCACTGCCCCCTAACGGGCATGTTGTAAAATCCGACTAATAATGAATTTTTCCTTTGAAATACGAGTGCATCTGCCTGAGAAACAAGGAATCAACAGTAAACATACAGCTGCGCCAGATCGTACAATGGACGCGTACACAAGAATCAAGTTTTTGAACAGGAACAAAATCCAGAAGTGGGCCAAAAACCAGAACTTTTCCCCGGAGTTTGTAGCCAGTTTACACGAAGAAGAAGAAGATGCGGAAGCAAAGGAGGATTGCATACAGGTAACACGTAAACACACCATATAGACACACTGTACGGTAGACAGGTGTATACTCACATTGCCAGGTGATATATCCATGATTGCCAGGATTTTGGGCGCTCCAAAAAGTTGTAAACCCGGGCCTGAAGTCTTCGGTAATTGACATCCCGTCTGTGGGCTTTGTAGTTTAAAGGTTTCCCTAAAAGGGAAACCCTGGGATGGCGGAACCTTCCACCGCCTCCACCTAACATTGCCACGTCGTTCTCCACATCGTCTTTAATGTTAATTAATCCACTGTTGATATTCCCCGTTCCCTTGTTGAACCCCGTCTTCTCGCTGTCTGTATCCATGACAGCAAACTCTACTTTCAGCCTTCTCTTGTTGTCTCTACCAAATCTCTTTCCAGCTCTTATTGCTTCCGATCCATCTTGTTTGTCCTCACACTGTGGAGCAGACGACGGAAACCGTGGATTTGTAGCCGACTGATCGACTCGTAAAAACGCAGTTTTCTCGCGAGACAATCTTCGTAATCCATTTATAAAAGACACCCTGCGTTTCTGAGAAGCGCTGGAATAAACGTCTGCTCCTGGCGCTGGCGATGATGAAGCTGATAATGCTGTTTGTTGAAGAGTTTCACCGGGCGAGGTATCTCCGAAAAGTGTTGATGTAATTCGAATCGCAGGAGCTGCTAAGCCAGCTCGTGCTTCTGTGTGAACTTGAGCCATGCAGGGCTCTGATGTAGAGTGAGACGTTGGTAGACTCGCTGCTTCTGTATCATATATTCTGTAGTTGGATGGATCTTTCTTGTGATAACGACCCATCCGAGTATGTCTGTGAATTTCTGTAGGGTTTCCGTCTTCAAAAATATATTTGCCTTGGTCATCTTTAAAAAATTTAATATAACGTTGTTCTTCATTATTTTCGGCTTGATTGGTAAGTGTTTTTATTTTTGGGTCAAGAACAACTTTATCAACGACAACCGAAAACAAAGAATCTGTGATATCTTCAGTTTCTTGACAACCTGGTTGACGATCAGTTGTCGCTGTGTCCGGTTGATTCTGCAGATGGTCATGGTTGACCTGTTTCTTTGCAGGTTTGGTGATTGTAGCTAGCCATCCATGACTGAAGTCAAGGTTACCACAGGAGGTGCATTTTCTTAGGCAAAACTCTGGCGACGAACCCTGTTGGTCAAGTAATCGGGATTCTCCAGAGCTTCTTGTACCCAGTGATTTATTGTTTGAAGACGGATTCGCCAAGTGTGCATACAAATGACCACTCGATCCCTGACACAGCATACAATTGTGTTGATGTACTGACGTTTCGGTGAATCCATCATTAGCGGGAGTCGAAGAGTCAATAATAACTTGATGTTGACTCAACGGATGAATGAACTCAGGAACATCAGAAGTCGAACAAATCGTATCAGTGTTTCTAGCACATGCTGCAGAGAGTCCGGACTGAGCTGGTCTAGATTCTGATACACAACCCGTCGACGAGAGTCTGGATTGAAAGCACTCCTTCCCTACTCGGATTGAAGAACTGACCCATTTTCCAAACCCACCATCCGTGTCAGAATTCAGTGCCGGAAGGCTGGTATATTCAGCACGGGTGACAGCTGGCGGAGAATACGATGACTGTAGTGAGACACAAGAGGCTGAAGACACGGATCGCTCAGAAAGCCTTAAAGCGGATTTGAACTCAGTCCTTTTAGGTGAAGCCTGAAACTTGGAAACTATCGTTTGACCATCTTGTGAATTATGACCATCCTTGTGTTGGAAAAGATAATTTCGTCCATCAGTTTCGGGATTTTGGCCATGACATTTCTGGTCAAGTTGCAGTTCTTCTATCACTCTTTGATTGTTTGTTTTACTTCCTTCATCACTCGGGAAGATTCGCAGTTGAGAATGCTGGATATCATGTACGTTTCTGCTGTAGGAAGCGGGGTTGATTTCTTTGTTTAACCGTTCAGCGTTGAGTTGACCCCATGAGTCCTCTTTTTCTTGAGATTCGCTTCTACTCGAAGACACGTCATCTGAGTTTTCGTTATAACACTTACACGATGGAGATAAATCACCACACGCCGAGATCGATTGACAGTTGCTACTGCTGTTCACAGAAGGAAATCTTACAAAAGTGTTATTATTGGTTAGCGATGTAGTTCCTCCTAAAACAGGAGAATCTTGCTTCAAATGGCTGGGATAATCCGGTATTTGGGAGGCGACAAAACCGCCGAGTCCCGCGACATCGTCTCGTGAACAAATCTCTTTAGCCGGGGCGACGTCGGGTGTAAAAATCGGCGAGCTGTCACCGTCTGCTGACAGAGCAGAAGCGAGTGCGACACTTTCATGAGTACATCTCGAAATGTTACTGCTTCTTAAACTGTTCTTTTGTTTATAGTGGGGAGAGGAAGTATTTACACAACACACATTTAACGACTGACAGCTGTTCACAAAATTATGTTTACAATTTTCCTTTTCATCGCAGATTGTGTATGTATCCTGAGATTTCTTGCAAGCCGCATTTTCGTTTTCACCGTCAGGTTTTTCTTTTTGGTATTGTCCAGATAATCGAATTTCTGATACGGATTTGCCGGCAGCTTCAGACAACATCATTGCCTCACAAGGTGATAATGCACACTTCAAAGATGAAGATCGTGTCTTTGGGGGTGGTTGCCTCAAAGATGAAGCTGATGTGTCTAGCCCGGAGGCAGAATCTTCAGTGCGGCTAGCGCGAGTTTCCAGTACATAGTTTTCATTTGTTTTCATGTGAGCTTTGCAACAGCTCTCATTAAACTCATTGCTATCATTTGTGTTTTCTTGATCTCGGTATTCATAACCATCATCATCATCGTCATCATCATCATCATCATCCCTTGGCCCATCACTTTCATCAGATAGCTGAGGAGCCTTATTCGGGACAGCGTCATGTTTAATGCCTGAGACAATGTGGACACTATTTGCTAAATCAGCACTGACTTCCTTATTAGTCATTCCGCCTTTTGAAGACACTGAAAGTGGTTCAATAGTCAGATCATCTTCATCGCCATCTAACACTGCTATATTTTCTACAGATTCTGTTTTCCTCTGTTCTAGTTGTTCATCAGCTCCAACTCCAGAAGACAAGCATATATTCTCAGATTCACTGTTTGTTGCCATGGTTATTCATTGCGCCAGCGAATCAACAAAGATATGGTATAATAAATAACGCCCCACGGGGCACACGATATAGCAGTGTTGCACCATTAAATTCTTCCTGGGACATCAATAATCCTTGAAGTTGTATACGACATTTCGGTTTTGTCTGAAATCGGAAGTGTTATTGGAAACTTAAAAACATTGTCCGTTGTCTGTTTACAAGATAAACTGTAACTGTTGAAAGTAAGATTTGGTATCATTTCTTCTACGCAGGCAAGGATGTGTATTTACTCTAAAATAGTTCATGAAAAATTAAAAACACAAATGTCCGGAAAAGCAGATCAAATGCGAGTTACTTAGATGCTTTCCACAGAGTTTACTGATCTAGACTTTTCTAAGTTGTCATTCTGTGTTATTCTGAAAGAAAGAAATTATTTCATCATGTGACATACATAAATAGATGTCAATGTTTTCCTTCTTCAGTTGTGCTTTCACAAAGTCAAATAGACAGACATATTGACATATGTACACACACAGTTATAGAGGTAATATACAGATTTATAATTACACATTTTGAGATAAAGAGAAAGACGGACAGATAGACAGACATTGAAGACGGGTAATACATAAATAGTTACCATACAGTCCTGAGACTCAAAGATTCCCAGTCTGGATGGTGGACCAACAAGTCTTATCGCAGGTGCCCCCGTTTTTCCTCCTCCTCCTCCTTCTCTTCTTCTTCTTCTTCTTCTTCTTCTTCTTCTTCTTCTTCTTCTTCTTCTTCTTCTTCTTCTTCTTCTTCTTCTTCTTCTTCTTCTTCTTCTTCTTCTTCTTCTTCTTCTTCTTCTTCTTCTTCTTCTTCTTATTATTATTATTATTATTATTATTATTATTATTATTATTATTCTCTGGACTTGAGTCTTGTTCCAGAACCTGAGTGTTGCGTGCACATCTACTTTACAATTCTGACTTAGGTATTTGCAGACTGTTAGTTTCGTGCCTCTTAGGCATTCCGACTTCGAATGAAGCCCCCAACTTAGTTAACTCTTACGACACCCTGTGGGTCTAGTCTTGTTTCCCCAACACTGGGGCCCCAGAACCCACACGGGGTGGATACCACGTTCAACCTTCAAAGAAGTAATAATTAGGACAGCCATAACAGAGACACCAGCCCAGGATAGCATGAAGTCCAGTGTGGCTAATGATGCTGCTCCCGAAGTGTACCTGCTGTTTGCATCAGAACAAAGCTTTCCAAAGTATATATGTATGTATATATATATATATATATATATATATATATATATATATATATATATATTTATTTATATATATATATATATATATATATATATATATATATATATATATATATATATATATATATATATATATATATATATATATATATATATATAATATTAATAACACGTCTCATACAAAAATAGTTTCGTAGAGTACTTCAGTCTACTAGCAAATCATAAATTTAGCAAAACCATATACATATATTTGCCAGTTATCATGTACAACATTTTACTTTTTCGTGACAAACATTCACACTGCAGCCTTCACACTAATGAGTCGCGACACACAGTTTAGAAAGCTCTGTATTAGAGACATGACCCCGAAGGTTTGAGTGCCACGAAGAAGCAAAATCATTTACATTTTGTAAAAACTTCTCTTTTGACTTTTCTTGAGAAGAAACAAACAGTTCTTTCCTAACTGTAAAGATTTCGCTCGCGTGTTAAGTGCAAGGTCTTTTAAAAGCGGGTAAATTACTTTGTTCTTCGGCAATTTGCGGCACCTGACATCACTGAAGGTCGTGGGGGTTCATTAGCTGAGCACGCTATGTTCTCTTGTTTCTGGACATCGTCAAGTTCCCATTTGCTTTCTCCATAATCATCATGATCATCATCATCATCATCATCATCATCATCATCATCATCATCATCATCATCATCATCATCATCATTATCATTATCACCATAATCATCAACGTCATGATCATAATTTTCTTCTTCTTCTTCTTCTTCTTCTTCTTCTTCTTCTTCTTCTTCTTCTTCTTCTTCTTCTTCTTCTTCTTCTTCTTCTTCTTCTTCTTCTTCTTCTTCTTTTTCTTCTTCTTCTGTGTTCGCCCTTAGGGGAAAAAAACCGGTTATCACGTTATGTTGTAACTAACAGCTAGGCTGCGATATCTGCGCCTTTCGGACCGAAATATCCAGTTTCAGGAAACCCTTATTTAGGACATGTTTGTTAAGGGGCAATAACTTATTCCTTTTATCCTCGTTAAGGTGCAATAGGTTATTCCTTGTATCCTCGTTAAGGTGCAATAGGTTATTCCTTGTATCCTCGTTAAGCGGCAATAGGTTATTCCTTGTATCCTCGTTAAGGGGCAATAGGTTATTCCTTGTATCCTTGTTAAGAGGCAATAGGTTATTCCTTGTATCCTCGGTGTGGGGCAATAGGTTATTCCTTGTATCCTCGTTAAGGGGCAACAGGTTATTCCTTGTATCCGTGTTAAGGGGCAAAAGGTTATTCCTTGTCTCCTTGTTAAAGGGGCACTAGGTTATTCCTTGTATCCTCGTTAAGGGGCA